GATTTTTGTAGTAAGATATTTTTCTCTCTTCCTTACAGGTTTTCTAGAAGAGTGAAATAGCAGTTCCATATCACTGAAAAGAGGGTTCTGCCAGGAGCATCACTAACATTTGGGCTAAGGGGCACTGAACCAGATGGGACAATACATCTCACTTTAACACCAGGAAAATCTTGGAGGGGGGCTGGGACTAGGTGATCTTTGAAATCTCTCCCAGCCGAAACCATTCTGTGATTCTAGGATAACAGGCACTCCTGGGATGAGGAGCATGAGGGGTGATACCTCCTGACAAACACTCAAGCTAAGGAAAAACTCTCCAAGAAGAAGTCAATTCAAGGGATTATATCACTAGAAGTTTCCTGGACTACATCAATGGATGGCTACGTCCTTTGGGACATTCAAATCCTAACCAGAAAACCAGTGTGTGCCCAATGACTCTGTCCAATTAATATTTATAGTCACCAGGCAAGTTCTATTTCGTGATCACTTTTCCATTTATATTGAAGAATATCATATCCTTAAATGGCAAGCACGTATATTTTAGCAAAGTATTTTAAAACAATTTAACACCCACATAAATAATCTTTCATATGATCCAAAGGAAAATATTGCCACTGGTTACCCAGTGACATGAGCTCATAACTCATTCAGTAAATAAGTGTAAGAAAAACAATTATGTTTAGAATGCCAGTAAACACCATCTCTTACGATTCACTTACAAAATCAGACTTACTAAGAATTGCCAGTGATCCTCCATTGATATCTTTATGTTTATGTTGCTGGTTATCCAACCTTATGAATGATTCTCCCTTAAAATAGAATTACGTATCTTTTTATCTGGATTCTGTACACACAAAAATCATGGAATTCATCTCAATTGCAACATGTATTCATCTAAAAGAGACACAAGCAACTGATAAATGATCCACTAATACTGTACTTGCTGATTCTGTCTTTCAGAGTGGATATTGTAAGCATTTTAAGACACTAAGAGGTATAATTAGTTGTAGGAACAACTAAAGACTAATCACCAGTACAGGAAAAAAAATAATCAAAAGCATTACTATAATTAGGTTCATTTGTTTCACTAGGAGAGGAAAAACCCCCCATGGTCTATCAAAAGTGTTACAATTCTTAAAACAATGTAAGGATAAGAAGACTGGCAAGTCTGAAATGAAGGAAGGAAAGAAAAGAGAAAGAAAGAACAGTAAAGCTAGAAGAAAAAAGTATATTGAGCAAATAAAAAATTTATAGTATATACAAGGTTACTGTAAAGGAATACTTTTCTGTCTATTTAAAATGTGCCTCTTTTCTACTTATATATTGAATAAATAAATCACTAAAAAAGCAGGTAAGTAATTACTAAGTATTCATATCTTTCTGCTGAAAATCAAACAGGCAGATAGACCTAAAGAGAAGCAATTGTTCTTAGCACCAATTAAATTGAACTAGCTTTGTTTGTAAAAAAAATAATCAAAAGCATTACTATAATTAGGTTCATTTGTTTCACTAGGAGAGGAAAAATCCACAGTATTCTAGAAAATAGTACATCTTGATTAACATCATTTTCTTGACATGACTAGAGTTAGGAAATGAAACCAGAAGTGATAGTTTATTTTAAAAAGAAATAATTTTTATAGTCCTCTTTACACAAAGGTCAACTACTCTCAACTAGAGCTCCCATGAACTGTGCTTTCTAGAAACAGATTTCTCTTAGTTTCCACTTAATGCTACACATAATTGAAAGGACATTAGATGTTAATTCAATCTTCTGAAATGTCACACACTGAAGAGGAAATGAGAGCTAATGCAGGTACATTTCTGATGTGCACACCTTGTCGAGCCCCTGCATTAATCAGTGTCAGGAGATTTCCAAGTATTTTGTTTCATGGGTCTTGCAATCAATGAAACATTTAGTCTCCAACAGCTGGCCTGTTACACCTCGTTATGGAACAGAAAAGTTAAAAACAATTCTTAATGACCAGGACACATTCAAGAGTACTGGCTGACTACCACTGCAGAAACACAGAGCTGAATCTTTACAAAAAGGCCACTAAAGGTATCAGAGTCAGAATTTGACTTACTGATGATTTTATTTTTAAAAAGAATTTGCTCTTCTTTGTATTTCTGTTTGTGAAGATGCTTCAAGGGCACTTTAAAGCTAATTCCCATTTTAAATCTCCCCAGGAAGCAGCGTTGCAGGAAGCAAACTGCATGCTCAGATTCACTGAAGAAGGGAAAAGTGTAATACAGTGTGGAAGGATTTCAGCAACCTCAGGTCTCTCAGGGAATATTTTAACAATATATCCTGAAAAACTATGTATATGACAGAAGTAAATTTTGAGTTCTGTCACTGCCTCTTCCTCTGAGTCAGGTACCATGTCTTCTCTCAACTGAGGGGACACCATGGAACCTTCCTACAACCCTTTCAAACCATAAATTACTCCAAGACATCCTTCTAGATCATTTATCCGGTGTTATTTTTTCACCAGAGACTGGTTTCCTAGAGGTGGCTGATGCCTGTCAGTGTTTAAGAAGCATTTGAACAATGCCCTTAATAACCCACTTCAGCTTTTGGTCAGCTTGAATTGATTAGACAGTTGAACTAGGTTATCATTTTAAGTCCCTTCCAACGGAAATATTCTATTGAATGTAATTATTCCATCACATGCCCACAGTTTCCCTGCAGTAGCCTGGTAAAACACTGCCCAATTAAAGAAGCCAGTGATGCTCAAAGAACCCTATTCCAGAATTTCTCAGAAGTGTACCCTTGTGTGAGTAACCCCTCAGCCATGATGGGATTTGTTTTATGGGGATGATCTAAGAGACAACTCCTACCTCCATAATTAACTGCTGTTCCTACCAATTCATGTGTGGGCTGTCACTCTCTGCTCATTAGGAATGATGGCTCTCCCCAGTGCACAAAATTTTGCTGCCACGTCCTTACAGGAACATCTCTCATTGTGATTGATGCACAGAACAGGGAGTAAAAGGGGACTGTCAGATTGGGAACAAACAAATAGATCTTATTGCCAAGACCTGCCAGCTCCAACTGTGCTCAAACAGCACCCATCCCAGCTAAGAGTGCACCCATCCCACCCGCTGTGACGCCCGTGCCAGATGCGCTGCCTCAGCCAGGGCTGTGGCTCGTTTCAGGTATTAACTGAACTGATTGCTCCAACCCAACCACCACAGGGAGCTACTTCATGCAAGGACTCCGTTCAGGCAGGAGGACACAGTGATGAGTAGTTTCTAGAATCATAGAATCGTTCTGGTTGGAAAAGACCTTTAAGATCATCAGGTTAAACCACTAACCTAACCCTACCAAGTCCACTGCTAAACCATATCTCTAAGCACCATATCCACACAACTTTTAAACACCACCAGGGATGGTAACTCCACCACTGCCCTGGACAGCCTGTTCCAGGGCTTGACTTTCTGTGAAGAAATTTTTCCTAATATCCAGCCAAAATCTGCCCTGGTTCAACTTGAGGCCATTTCCTCTTGTCCTATCGCTTGTTACTTGTGAGAAGAGACCAGCATTTGCCTCTCTACAGCCTCCTTAAGTTGTTAAGAGCAATAAGGTCTCCCCTCAGCCTCCTTTTCACTGCATCTTCAGGAGCTCACATGGACTATAAACCAAATTTAAAGCTAAGAAGACATGGCTGAATAACAAGCCCCAAATCCTCCTAATTAACAGCTCTTAAGTGACCTTTTGAAATGGGAAAAGTTTCTGCTAAAGCAAAAGATTATGCTAAAGCCTTGAGCAAAAGCAAAGGGGAAAAAGTTTTCCTCCTCTGACTGCCAGGTAACAGAATGAATAGTATTGTTACACAGGAAGTTGTTTTCTCTAACATAAAAACAGACTTAAAACAATTTACAGTTCTTCACCATCCTACCTGCAGTGCTACATAAAAGCAAACAAAAGAAGTCTGCCAGATGTTTCTTTAAAGCTGACTTGATCACACACTGCTGGAGGTGATGGGCTTCTGCCAAGCATCAAAGCACTCCAAAGAAACTGTTTTTTATCAGTCAGACTTTCAGATGGGCATTTATATTCATTGGACACCTCTCAGTGTTAATACAGGGGAGCATGTACCTTCTCTGCATCAGTACAGTTGAGATTCTGGGAGATATTTAGGCATTTATTCATGGTGGGTTTATTACTTAAAATTAGAGCTTCTGGGCCAGATCTTCAGCTGGCACAAATTCAGCACAGCTCTATTTAAATTCAAGGAATCATGCTAATTATGCAATCATGCAAATTATTATCTGTAATGAGGGTCTCTAAGGATTATCTACTTGATACGTTAGTTATTTTACCTAATTAAACTAGCTGAGAGTGTTTCTTAGTAAATTATGAGACATCTATATTATTTATTCACTGAAGAGTTCAGACTATTAGGCAATTCATATTGTCTTTCTTGCCTTCTCTTTTTTTATTCAATATATCTCATCACAACTTCAGAGCTGCATTATCAAATTTTCCCACACAAAGTTTGCATTGGAAAATGAGCTTTTCATATTTAATATATAATTATTGTGCAGCTACCTAGCTGGTGGCAAGCTTGTGCTTTCTAATGCTCCAAAATATTACAGCTATGAAATCCTGACCATCACGTTACCAAAAAAAAGATAATCATATGTTCTGCTCAGAGTTGGCTTTCCTAGACCTCTGATTTTGTAACCATTCATTTTATTAACACACACAGCACGTTGGGTGCAATATCTTTGTTTTCTATATTCCAAAGGGTAAAGCACCGTGACCATGAAACTTGGTATTAACTTGAATTGGTAGAAGGGCCATTGCTAAAATTTTAACAGCACTGATAGCTTTGTTACATCATTTGTTCAGAATGCCTATTAAATCAATATTTTGTATATATTTGTATGCAGGAAGTAATCAGGAAAACAGTATTTTTCTTACTGTGACTCACAACTGCACTATGATGGAACCAGAATTCATTTTCATTAATACAAGGAAAAAAATTCCCATCTCTTACCTTTTATTTCTGTCTTCTATCTGCAAGATGTAGACCATGTCATCAGCAGTGTGAAGCTTGGAACTGCTGTCTCCCCATTTCAGCTTCAGGCTCTGAGGACCTGCTGCAGCACACTCCAACCGAGGAGGCGAGGGTGGTAACGGCCTGGTTTTTGCTTTAATGAAATGGCTAAATGGTCCAGCTCCAATTTCATTGACTGCCTGGATCCTGATCCTAAAACAAACACCAAAAATGTAAGTGTTAAAGAAAGTGCTTTCACAAGGTTCTTTGTATAAAGAAGCCTCAGGAAACAAAAAGGCCTCCTGGAGCCGGCTGCTCTGTCCCTGACACGGTGCCTGCTCCCTGCTGCCAGCTCCCTGCTTTGGCAAAATGAAAGGCTCCATAAACAAAGCAAGTATTTTCGTCCTGTTTATACTGTAAGAGCTGCAGTGAAGATATCAAGGAATGCAGCAAGGCAAGTGGAGGGGGCAGATTCGGGCAGGCAATCTCAGAACCCGATGGCAGTCCTGTTATCCCAAGCACAAGGGACAGCAGCACAGATCCAAGGGTGGCCTGCAAAAGAGGAAGCGTGTAACTAGGAATAAATAAAATGCAGGAGTGTGTTGTGGTTGTCTAAAAATGGCTGTGAGCTAATTTAGGTGAAATAATTAACTGAAAGCATTGCTGCCACTGCTATGAAGCCCATCTCCATGTTGGTAAAGATCTCTGAAGACCAAAGAACAGTGTCATTGCAGCATCTCACACAGACCATATTTAGGTATATTAGAATCACAAAGTCATAGAATTGTTTTGGTTGAAAAAGAACTTTTAAGATCATCAGGTCTGACCACCAACTCATCACTGCCAAGTCCACCACTAAACCACGTCCCTAAGTATGTTAAGCTCTACTGGGAAGAGCTAACTGAGAAAAGTTTAATCTAAAAACCTTCTACAAGTCTCACACAAACTGTAGCAATAGTGAATTGTGACTGCTAGTGAATCAGATCAAATAAAAGCTGGACTCCACTTACTCTCACAAGACTCACCAAAGCTCTTGAGCCATCTGAATGGTATTAAGGACATTTAGAAGCAGAGACAAGCAGACCACCTATCTAGTCATAGAAGTTTTGATTTTGAAATATTCTTAAAACTGAGCCAGTCTTCTAAATTCAACTACTTACTTTTGACTTCTGCTTTTTCACTTTCTCTTTTCTGTCTGCACATTAGTTTAATAACTTGTACAACAAGAATCTACTTTTAGGAATGAGTGAAGAGTAGTAGCCTCTTACTATGGTAACGTCAACAACAACATCATAATAAAAATGTGAAATATGCATTTGAAAGAGCTTTGAGGGCTGCGTAAGTAGAAATACTGGTACAGATGACCCTGAAAGGTTTCAAAAGTTTGTTAAATCAGAGTGAAAAGAAGAGATAACAGCATGGGCAAACCAATTCGTTTTTTTATATCGCTCAGCCTAGTTTAGATAACTGGACAGATGCCATTTGCTTTGGAAATCCTGTGCACAGCAGCCTAGTATTTTCTCATGGGAAAAGACTCTACAATAAGTGTTGCTTCTTCTCAAAACTATCAGCCACCAGGAAGGCAGAAGTCCCTGGGGAAGGTGACAGAGGGTGAAGGGAGAAGAGCAGAACCTGATACAACCCTGTGACTGTCTGCTTCAGCAAAAGGAAAAGATAAATAGAGCTGGTTTTGGTTGGCATAGCTACTTATTTTGATTGAAGTACATGAAGTGATCCAAGTTCATATAAACAACATCTGAAAAATTACTTTGCTTTGAACAGCAAGTTTTTAGTTCCATCATTAGAAGAAAGATTAGGTGGTAGAAGGGAAAGGGAAAAACCCTCCAGAAAACAACATTCCCCATTAAAAAAAAATACAATCCACATTTTCTCCAATTTCAAAAGCAAAAAGGGTTAAATGATGAATAAACATAGTGCAAAGTAAGAGAGTCTTAACTCCTGATCAGGCAGCTAAAGTAACTGTACACTGGAAGAATGCACTGTGTTTACACAGCCATGTGCAAATGTGTGGTTATACCTTTGCCTACTGAACTACCCACTAACAAGGGCAAAGCATTGCTGGGTGTGGAGCTGCATTTCCCTTTTAGTTTCAGGAAATGCATCCCTGGCACCTTACAACACTACAGAGTGGTGAGTTGATCCTCCTCCTCCCAAAGGGTGGATAGTGGGATGAAGAACATTCTAGTGGGAGCCTCCTCTCAAAATGCTCCATACAGGCATTTGAGAGAAGCTTTTCTAGTATCTTAAGAAGTGTAATTAATAGAGTCCTTGATCTTATTTCATATTATGTTATTGATTTGCTTCAGATTGAAGAGTCATTACATTCATATTTAATGGTCTTTCCAGTAAAAACAAACAAACAAACCAACCAACCACACAAAAACACCCAACAAACCAAAACAAGCAGAAAAGTGAAAACTGTCTGAATTTCCACTGGACTCTGGCACGTTACCCATATGGAAATAAACAAATCAACAGTAAGGGTTACCTTACAGAACGCTGCTAGGTTTGCAGATTGATTACAGAAACACACTCTAGAATACACAGCTTTTTAAAAATTTTGCATTATCCAAAGTCCCAGTAATAACAAAGCCTCTCCTGTCCTCAACTCATTTCCAAGTAGCAGCTACCACACTTGAAAACAAGCAGTGATGGAAACAGATCTCTCTCAAATACGACATCACATTTTTTAAGCAGAAGCTGATCAATGTGTTTTTTAGATACGAGCATGAACATTTCCATTTACTTGTCTTCCCTTTGCCAGGTATCTACACAAGGTTAAAATGTGTCTCTTGCTCTCCCCTCCTTTGTTGCTGCCTTCACCTGCTGCATGGTGTCCTGACACAGCACAGTAAGACTGATGGAAGCTCTTAAGCCTTCCAACAGAGACAGGAATCTTTCCAGATGATACCAGGAAAGCAAGAATGGATTTATCTGTCTCTAACATAGCTGCATGTGGCTACCCTTCTTCTGCTGATTACACCACCATAAAACTCTTTGTAAATAGCCACTATCATTCCCAGGCCCTGCACTTTGTCAGACATGCACAAAGAGATAGCTTTGGTTTTCTGGCCATGTGGCAGAGTAACCCAGACCCACATCTCACCTTGAACCACAGCAGCCTTTCCTCAATGGATATTAGGCCTTGGAAATGGCCCCAGTGAAGGGGAGAAGGAAGAAAGATGGAGAGAAAGGAGGAGAGAATGTGGTGGTGGTGGGAGAAACACTTTGTGCTGCAGCATCTCTGCTCCAGCTCAGGTGCTTCCTCACGTCCCTGCCCCAGCCTGCCATGCTCTGAGCTCCTCCAGCTGGGTGCCACAGCCACAGCAGGCAAGGCAACGTCTGCAATTAAGTGGAAACCAATTACTGTTTAGAGAGAAAGATGGAGAGAAAGGAGGAGAGAATGTGGTGGTGGTGGGAGAAACACTTTGTGCTGCAGCATCTCTGCTCCAGCTCAGGTGCTTCCTCACGTCCCTGCCCCAGCCTGCCATGCTCTGAGCTCCTCCAGCTGGGTGCCACAGCCACAGCAGGCAAGGCAACGTCTGCAATTAAGTGGAAACCAATTACTGTTTAGAGAACTGACACTGGGAAAAATGAGGTTTTTTTGGTAGAAGTAGCATATAGGGCCATAAAGATAATTTGAGGGCTGGAGCATCTCTGGTCTGGAGACAGGCTGAGAGAGTTGGGGTGGTTCAGCCTGGAGAAGGCTCTGGGGAGACCTTAAAGCACCTTCCAGTGGCTGAAGGGGCAACAGGAAATCTGGGAAGAGACTTTTTACAAGGGCATGGAGTGACACGACAGGACAGGGGGTAATGTTATTAAACTGAAAGACGACAGACTTAGATATTAAGAAAAACTCTTTCCTGTGAGGGTGGTGAGACACTGGCACAGGTTGCCCAGAGAAGCTGTGAATGCCCCATCCCTGGAAGTGTTTAAGGGCAGGTTGGATGGGGCTTGGAGCAACCTGATCTTGTGGAAGGGGTCCCTGGCAGGCGGGGTGGAACTAGATGATCTTTAAGGTCCCTTCCAACCCAAACCAGTCTGTGATTCTATACAGACATGTACAAATATTCACAATAAAACCACTTCCTGAATTCCTTTCAAGTTTTTCACTAATGGTTTCTAAGCTTAAATACCCAAAATGTCCTGGAAAGGTGGTTTTAAAATATGACAATCACAATTTGAAAGTAAGTTTCTTTAAAAATGTAAAGACTCTATTTAGGACTACTACCTAATTCTGCAGAGCTTGCACCAATAATGCTTACTTTCAAATTGTCATCTTTTCCCACTGCATCTTGTAAACATTTAGAAAAAAGTAAATTGGGACTAGGCAAATTTAGAAACCATTAGAAGATCTTTAACAGACCATTCTATCCTATAAGATTCTTGACCCAGGAAAATAAACACATTAAATATGATGCTATTTTCAGATTGGTTAGAAAACCCTTTGTATGGTATTCCAACAAACGGAAAAATCACTTTTGAATTCATCTTCAGAGTCTGACATGAGAAGAGCTTGATTTGCTAGTTCCCATAAATGCAGTGCCACCAGTTGCAATGGATGTGCCCATGGAGATCTGTGGGAGTTAAAACGCCAGACTTCAAAAGGGAGGAGAAGCAGCACAGAAGCAGGGTGCTCCAGCAGCAGCAACCTGAACAGAAGGGACAGTCATCACACCCAGCCCCCAGGACAAGCCAGTCTCACTCAGACTGTACTTCTCCGGGGCTGCAACAAGACTTAGTTTTACATTCTGAAGCAGAAACATTGTTTTATAACCCACTTCAGCATTGCTAACTTGAGCATCCAGGTGCATCCTTCTCTCTTCAGCCTGGAAGATCTTTTCCTCAGCACAGTTTAGCAATTTTACGTGTCTTAAATTTTTATTCCTAAATCAAATTAAAATTAAGCACTGCTACTAAAACTTAATAAGACTGTTATATATTTCTAGAAACTATATAACTTCAGAAGAAAATAAGCACTCTTGAAAATCAGCAGTTGTTTTGCAGTGAAGTATCTCAACAGCACAATTAATGATGGAAAGCACTGAGCAAAGCTTGGGAACAGAGTGTAACAGAAAATTGCTATTTCTATTACTGTTGAATACTTATTTATTAACTCACTTCCAGTTACATCGATTCACAGAAAACCAGTCCAAGTATTATTACCCTATAATCCAAGCTTCCAGAGCTTCATGGCTATGTGAATAAAATGGAAAGACTGCAGAACTCTCAGACATCTTTCTGCAGCTGCTCACCAGCAGTGATGTTTACACAGCGCTCTTGTGAGGCACCTGGTTTTTGCCACAGGGGTGCTGGTCTGTGTCTGCCCTTGGAGAAGTCCTCTTGAAATCAGCCCTGTGCTGGCCATCAGCTGTATGGCAGAGGCACAGACCCAGTTCCTCCTGCCTTGAATGTATTTTGGGATGCAAATCCTTCTCAGGGCATGGGGGCTGGATTTGCTACTAAGCCACAGAAGCCAAACTCATCAGGTTCTAGCCCAAATCCAACAAGAGCACAGAGCTTGTGCAGTGTCTGCCTGAGTTGCTCATGTGTGGCCATTCCCACACTGAAGCTGGAAGCAGTGGACCACCAATGCCAGACCTAAGCTAACAACTCCAATGGGGTAGACACACACAGACATGCTGTTAGAATCACACCAGTATGCCAAACAATGTTCCTTTCCAATTTTGGACCTAGTGGATTCCTAATAACAAGACTTGCTTTCAATTTCAGGTTCCCACAAAAACACTAACAGTGAAATTCCACTGCAACTAAAACATAGAAGCCCTTTGCTGATTTACTTCAGATTCTGCTGAAACTTTGGCAAAAGAGTTCAGAGTTGCAAACACAGTAGTGTTTGGCTTGTTTAGTCTAGGGAGAAACAAGGCCTGGAAGAAAACATGTTCACTGCTTTTAAACACAGCAGGGAATAAACATGAGAGAGAGAAGAGCTGGTTGAGTTAAACAAAGTTGACATGAAAAGAAAAACCATTGCTGAACAAATTTAGAAATGAGACCAGTGATGTTCTGAAACACTCCTGATTGAAACAGGGTGGGCAAAAAACCCACCACCTTGTAGGACACAGCTTGATAAACCTGTTTCTTAAGGATACATTCATCAGGGCAGAGGCATTTCCTCCTGAAAGACAGGTGTTAAGATAGGCTGGAAGAAGAAATATCAATGGAAGAGTTAATGACTAAAAGCAAAACTACTTTAGCATGTCTCTTTTTCTGCTACTAAAAGTACTTCACACTTGATGAGGTGCTTTTTCAACTCAACTGCAGTCCCTTGTCTTCCCTGACAGGCACGAGATGCAAGAATTGGAAGTTTCTTTCTCTTGTTTTATTAAAGACCTTTCATAAATTATTACTTCTGATTAGTCATCATTGGTTTGTGCTCTTCACAATTTTTTTTTGGTAGAAACTTAAGTCTTACAACAATATATAGAACAGTTGCAATTAATACTCGTGCTTTACCCTTTTCATTTGGATCACAGACACGCAGACTCCCTGACTAAAAGTAAGTGGTTTAATATGGTGCTTTGTACAAAATAACAAAGCAAAAAAAACATAAAAAAAATTAAAATCCAGTATGATCTCAATGTAACAACACCTTCCATGGCATCAGGAATAAGAGCTTCATGGACAAGACTGCAGAATGATTAAAAAGAGTCTTGTCTTGCCCATCCTTTCACTCCGTATTTGCATTCCCAGGCTTTGAAGACAGGAACGTTTTCCTAAAGAAAAGCTGTAAACAACTAAGAACCAGCTTGAAAAAGAGACTGGAGAAGGAAGACTTCAGTGAAAAACTGAGATGGTCCTTTCTGTCTGTCTGGACCATGTTGCTCAAAGCTCTCACTTTGCTTTAGCCATTTTGACTCTTGAACTTTTAGACTCTGAGGAGAAACCAGGGAGAATGAGACTGCCCAAAGACGATGCAGTTCCTTCCACAGCTGGGTAGCCAGTCAACAGACAAACTCTTCAACTTCTTGTTAATTTCATTACGTTTTTGATTAGTCTTCAATGACTTGAGTTTTGTGGTCTGGGTGAGGGTAAGATAATGTGTAAATGTGTATTTCATTCATGCTTTTGCTAAAGAGGATGACAGTGTTACAAGTCACTGAAGAGCTGGAGACAGCAACAACAGTCATGTGTCCTGGATCTGTGTGAGTGATCTGAAACAGAGAGGTTCTGAATCACCCATTTCCTATTTTGCCTTCTTTTTTCAGATTGCCAGAAGGATTTATATATTCACTTTTAATAAATCTACATCTTTATATTGTATTACATGGCTTTAAAATCTATTCAAGGCCAAGATGCAACCATGCACCAGGCACCATAAGATGTTCCTCACTTTAAATAACCCCCAGTATACATATTTGTATACTTGCCACAAGAAATTCTCTTTTTTGGGTGCATAACAAAATTTCAGAAATTAACTTCTGATTTAAAAGCTACAAGACCTGTAGAACTGTGACCTTGAATACAAAGGAAAAAACCACAACACATTACAGAAGGTCTGTGCCATGTCTAATTGTACAACTGTGCAATCAGATTTCAGTTTTCATTAGAACAGTACTTAAAATAGAATTTCTTTTGTCACTTCTTCTGCTGTATTGCTGTTCATTGCCTGCATGGAACCTTTTTTTTTTTTTTTTAATTAGCAATTAGGGAAAAAACAGGTAAGTCTGAACATTAAAATAATATTGAAGTATTGGCAATGACACTTAGAAATTTAAACTCTGAAGCAATATAAATATATTGGTTTTAAATTCAGATTACATTTTAATGAATCTCCATGTGCTAGAAACAAAAAAACAGCTGTAACTATAAAAATAAAAGTTCATTGTGTGTAAATTGCTGTCCCCTCACAGGAATCAATACAGTTAATATTATAAAACCATGGAACAGTACTGCTAAGCATCTGAAAAAACATGAGATATCACATTCTAATTTTAGTTTCTTCTCATTTTAAAAATCTGACTTACCTTCTAGAGTAGCTTTACCTTAGCACAGCAACTTAAAAAAGAGAAGAGGTCAGAAATCATGCAAGGATAAGAGAAAGAGGAAAAAAATGGGGGGGGAAAACCATATTTGACCATGAACTACTACAGTTAATTTCAAAAAGTAATTATTGTAGACTTCTATGCTCCCTCAGTTGGTTGGCTGGGTCATTCGTTGGTTGTTTTGTTTTTTTTCATTCACTTCACATGCCATAAACATTTTCCATGTTTCCAAAACTAATCTGTGTGATCTCATCCTGAGTGCTCTGTACCATGTTAAAAAAATGGTGCTCACCTGTATGAGGTTTCTGGCAGCAAATCCTCAATAACGTAACTTGTGACATTTCCTACTGGAATGCTGATGTCACCCAGGTCAATGTTGTAGGATGTAATCTCAGCTCCATTATTGCATGGCTCTTCCCAGTTCAGTACAAGGCACACAGAGGGTGAGAGCTGACAGGCATCCATGTGCTCGTCCTCCAGCACAGAGAGGGCAGAGACTGCATCAGGCACCGCCGCGGGGATCCTGCAGGTTACCAGCTTGCTGTAGGGCCCAGCTCCTGCCTGGTTAATAGCCTGGATGATAAAAAAAAAATACTGTTTTAGGACAGATGTTCTCTTTCACAGGTCTACTGAGTTCATAATAACGACCTGTGCAGCCTGGGAGAGCTGCAAGGATTCCTCAGAGGATACACACTGCTGGATTATTCTCTGAATCATGACTCATACCCTCTGTCTTTACTAGAGCAATATTACAGAAATTAGTATCTTCTTTTGTTACTCACAAGTATCTCTCAGATAAATTGGAGAATATTTAATCAAACTTAACAGTAACCTTTTTATGAGCAGCAAACCTTGTTTAGTAAGGGAAAATGTCACAGACATGCTGTCAGTGGCAGGGGGCATCACACGGGTCAGCAAATTGACCACCCAGAATTCTTAAGCTGCCCTGTGTAAAACCCTCAGAGTACTGCAGAGTGCAACATCAGAGGTCCTCTACAAGCAGAGTACCCTTGGACATAAGGGGTGTTGAGCTTGCTGAGAGCTACACTGATTCCTAACTCAGAGGTTGGACAGGAATTTTTATGCTAAAAAGTTTCTGATATAAGAACACAGGAACTCAGCATGACATTAAGTCTATGATGCAGATTTCCCCAGAAGTCCCAGATCATTAGGAAGCTATCACCGAAGAACATAGCTCAATGTTTTCCAGAAGAGATGAGAGCAACCAATTATCAAGTTTCTTATATTGACTCAGAGATACAGGATCCCAGTGGAAACCGAATTTCAAAATCTGGCCCACTTCTGCTCATTAATTACAAGGCCTTGTTGTCTTTGCAAACTCAACACTGCACAATGGTAGAGACCTTTTGTTTTTTATCAGTTGATGCTCAGTCAGTGGAAAAGCCTGTGTATGTTACACTGGAATGGCCTAGGAAATGGCTAACATTACCTCCTCGGGACTATTCTAAGCTCCCATGCACACAATCACAGAACCAAGTAAGCTGGAAGGGACCTTGGGACACATCTAAACCAACCTGCTTCTCCAAGCAGAGTCAAAGCTGAATACAAACCAGGTTGCTCAGGTTTTTGTCCAGTTTGGTCTTGAAAAATTCCAAGGATGGAGACTGCACAGCCCTCTCTGGATCACTACAGCCCAGTGTGCCACTAGCCCGTAACGCACATGGGTGCTTGTGACAGGTTGAGCTACAGGAGGTCCAGAAGGTGCAGACCTTCAAAAGTAACTTTCTTGCAAGGCCAGGTTGGATGGGGCTTTGAGCAACCTGGTCTAGCAGAAGGTGTCCCAACCAAAACCAGTCTATGATTCTGGAACAGGTTGCCCAGGGAAGTTGTTGAAGCCTCATCCCTGGAAGCGTTCAAGACCAGGTTGGATGGGGCTCTGAGCAATATGGTCTAGGGGAAGGTGCTCCTGTCCTTGCAGGAACTAGATGATCTTTAAGGCTCCTTCCAATTCAAACCATTCTGTGATGATTCCATAACATTGCCCAGCTTTGTCCATCATCCACACTTCCTTTGCATCTGGAAAAGTGAGCCCAGTCTCCCACCAGATGAAAACTAATCAGAAACCTCAGGTTTACAATGTCACCAGATTCCAACAGCAAGGGAAGAACATGTCAAACAATTGTTTGATTTTTTTATCTATGCTTAATGGTAGCAAGTAACTCATTTCTGCTCTGCATAATGCAAACACAAACCCATGCTCTGTTTTTCCAGGAGGCGTTTTGTTCAATTGAAGAAAGAGATAATAAAGTTAAGTTTGTCAGCCTTTAAAAAGCCCTTCAAAACAAATCCTGCTCAAGGGACATCTTCTGTCTCACTCCTAAGAGTGAGCCTTGTTTTGTGGTCTGCCAATGATATTATTTGTCTTGCCTCTAAACCAGTGCTTGGCAATCTCCATCTTGCTCCAAGCAATTCCTTTTTAGTGGTGGTTTTAGCTGCTTTATTGGACAATCTCATCATCATACCTGACAGGAATTTCACTCTTCTTTCCTTCCTAGGTACTTTGCCCTCCCACCTCATCAACACTTTCTTCCCCTTTGCAGAAGCCACAATTGTTTTCAGGAATACTCATTACAGGAAAAACATTGGGCAACAGCAAAGACAAATTATCTGCCCTGCAGTTATATATGCCTGATTCTTCAGTTCTCCCTTTTTATTGAGTTACTGTAGATTGAGATAGCAATACTGTGTGTGTTTAGATAAAGGCAAAGTAAATGTGGTTTGGATAATCTTTATTTACAAACAGTAAAAGATTTTTCTGTTAAAGCTGCTAACAGCTAAGAAACACAGCTATTATTCTCTCCTTTTTCATTTTAAAAAGAGACTAATATTTCTGAAACTATTTAACTTTCCTCCTTTGTCTGCTTTATGTACCTTGGGTTTTTTGGTAATTGATTCAATGTTACTGTGTGTCTCAAAACAAATTCTTCTGCATAGAGCACACAGATCTAGAGGATGAAGCCCTCTATAAAGTAATGGGTCACTGATGGACTTCCAGAAATTGTCTCAGTGCTACAGTGCATTTCACTGGATTAAATTCTATTGGCTGCATTAAAAATGGGGTGGATCTACACATTTTTGTGGCAGGTCACTCAAAACAAATGCCCACTAGTAAAAGATACCACACATGTTTCCATTTTTAACACTAACACCTCCTGGAGCTCACCACAGAGGTGGGCTCAGGGTTTCCTCCCTGCCTGCTGGATGCTGAACGTTTTCCCTCCTGCACAAACAAGAGGCACTTGCTTTCTCCTGCTTCCAAACCACTCACACATCCTCTTGCAGTTCACCTTCCCCAGTTTGAACAGACAGCCAGCTATAGTCCAGGCAGAAAATACTGTGTACTCAGAGGTGTGGGGCCTGAGCAGCCCTGGCTGCTGGCCAGCTGCTCCAAAGCTACTTCAGAAAAATAAAAAATAATTTAAAAAATGGAAATATTTGTTTAAAAAAAACAACAAACAAACCAAGAAGGAAATGCTCGACAGAAGCATGTTGTCCAAAATCAAAGAAAGGACCCTGGGTGGTCCACACACTGTCCAGATGGGTGGGTATGTGAATTTTTGGTTGGATTACTGGTGGTATTTTGTCTTTGCATGCAAATAAATCTTGTGGAAGAGTATCTTGGGCAAAAAAAATATTCTTACTTCACTCCTACTTTACTTTCCATTTATTTTTCAGTGGACATAAAGGAGAAAAAGTTCTGCTTTTTTATTTTCACATATTTATAAGAAATACATTAGCTTTTTTTACTGAAAATAATTGGAGAGAGAGATAAAAGAAAAAGAAATCATACAGAGACTCTGCATTAGATTCAACCTTACAAGTTTAAGAGACAAAATGGCAAAAAGGAGGACTCACTTTCTGGCAGCTACCACCTCTGTATACATAGGAATCCACTCAGCTGGGTTGCTTTACTTGATAAATGAAACAGATGCTGGAGTTTATTATTTAAGAGTAGGGGAATCTTCAACATCCACTTGGGAGGTAGATGTTGTTTACATCTCAACACCAAGAAAAAATGAAAATATTTTTGGAATTGTCTAAAACATTATTGTTTTGTTTTAATATCAGAGGGCAAGGTGGCTGTTAAAGGCATTATTCACTGAAAATAAAGCACATGATACACAAGTGAGTGTTAAAAGTTGTACCAACTCCCTCATTTACCACTTTTGAGTCATGCAGAATCTAAACTGTTCAGTTCCACAACAACAGTTTGCATTATTTAAAATAAATGTACGTTCCTTCTGACTTACAGAGCACATAACTTCATAGTGGTAAGTGATAAAAATAAAAACAGTGGAAGGAAACTCTGTTTACACCTTGGACTGCAATGCATGCAAACCCTCCTGACTTCCATACCTGCAGCCTACAGCAGTAATGTGCTGCCACCGACAATCCACTTATTTCAAAACAGGTGTCTGTGCCACTATATGCAAGTTGTAGAGACTCCTCATCTTCTCCCCACTCTAATCTGTATTCAGAGATGTCAGCACCAGAACATTCAGGACTCTGCAACACAAATATTTACGTGGTTCAAATTCAGAAATGAGCACTTCAGATCTCTGTGTTTCACTGGGTAAGGAATAAAGCAGATGGAAAAAACCCAACCCTTTGTTCTAAATTAATACACTATTACTGCTGCAAATGGAAATGCACTGAGTTAGTGTTCCCTAATAGGTTACTGAAACAGGCCAGCTCTACACAAAAACTACCTGATGGAAATTCAGAGAAATGAGAAACTTTGCTGCTCATTAGGACACGCAGGAATAAACTGTCCCTCCTGGCTGGGCAGCAGCACAGCCGTGGAGAACACAAAAAAGCATCAATCTAGTGTAGTCTAGTCAAGTGGTCAAAACACAGCTCTGGAAGAGCCAGCCTTTAAGCCTGAAGTAGTTACTTGTGTTACTGAGAAAAGAATAACCTCAGCAAGCAAGGAGCTTGTCCAGGGTTTTCTGTGAAAGTCACCCATCAAACTGATGGTCCCAGTACCTGGCACGGGAGTGGGGACCTGGCTACATTAATGTCCACAAAGACTCCTACAGGATCCATATGTCCTCAGCAATCTCTTTATCATTCTGAAGTCAAGGGGAACACAGAATAAACACCTGAATTTCGCTAGAGATGAGCCAGTGCTCAGTTCCCAAACCAAACTTTGCTGTTTTTTACCAGAACTACCTCAAGCTGTGGTGCATGGACTGAAGTGACTGGAGGAAATGCTGCTCTGACTACACAAGTGAGCTCTGGGCTATGACCAAGGCTTTGTCATTAGGACAATGCAAGGACTCAGTTCCAGTAGAAGGATCCAGATTCTCGCTGCCTGCCACAACGACCACCCTGGCACGGGCTTCTCCAGCTCTGCCTCACAGCTTCCAGCTGCTTCTGTGGGACCATTCAGAACTGCTAAGCCAGTGATCTAAAATAACATGTGAAAAAGGCCTAGCAGGCACCACCCTGTGCTCTCCAGCCAGACCAAAACCTACAGTCCTCCACTGCTTTTCCTTCATATTCTTAACAGCCAAAAAAGATAGACTCTAAGAAAACATAACCATTACAAACCACATTACTTCTTCCACAGCTCAATTTTTAGCTAAAATAAACAAATATATACTGCATATAAATTCAGAGCCTACCAGAAACACTGCTGCATTTGCTCATGGCTGGGGAGAGCAAATTCCCAACCCTACACTCATTTAAAAGGTAAGTGCAGCTTCTAGCTTCGTGTCTCAAAATGCTACAAGAAATGCTAACAAATCCCCCTAAGCTGCACCAAATGCCACCTGTTTCATTATAAAATTATGCCCAGATCATGCTTGTATCCAGCTATGTTGTTAGCACAATGTATCTGAGCATCTCATGAACATTACTAATTTCTTTCTCAACAGGGGCATCCTTTTGGGTAGGGCCTGACACATGCAGGGCTGGAATGGCTGATGAGTTTCCAAACCAAGTCTGTGGCAGAATTATATCTCCATACCACAGCTTTATGTGTGACAACATGACTCAATTACATAACCTTTTTTTTTTTTTAAATCACACCAATCCTCCTCAGCACTTCAGCTCAGACTCACTTTAGGAGTCCAGTGTCTAAGATTCTGGAGAATGGAGAAGGAATGCACACAAACTGAAAGTAAATATTTGGGGAAGAGAGAAACAATTCTAGAGGGGAAAAAAACCCTACACTGTAAGCATTTGTACAGAGTTAATTTCATATCAGAGACTCCAGCTTCAGCCAAAATAAAATATTTGCCTCCACAATTCCACCCCAAGACATGCTGACATGCTAGAAGCCTGCAGAGAGCATTTCTACACAACTAGTGTTCAATCCTCTGACGCCAGTGTAGGAGGTCTCGTGTCTGAATCCTGATCTGGATGATTCATGATCAACTTTATGCAATTCCTCATAGAGAGAAGTAGAGAAGATAATTTCTACAATAGAAGAGCTCCTGCATATAGTTTTCTTGCTCAAAAAAGCTCAGTTCCAAACCAGTGAGTAGCTCTCAAGCTAGCTATCAAGTTGTGTGGTGACCATATTAGTCTGGATAAGCAAGATGGAAAAGAAATGACCAGGAAACTTGACTTACCTCCCAGCTTACAAGTACTCGTGTGTTGGAGAGGAAGGAAAGGGAAGGGGCTCTGCACTGGCCCGGTGCTCCTGCTGCCGTGGTGACTTCTGTAGCTTCTGAATATGGCCCATACTAGAGGGGAACAAGAGACTGTACATTAATACATAAGTGTACACCCACCTCACCTTCCTCAAAGGCTTGAAACAGCAGACAGAAACTTCTTCAATGCAATAAACCTTCTCAAAGATAAACCAGGCATCCAACACTTGGCACCAACTATTAGAGTTCAGTATGAGACCATGTAAATTATTGCCAAGTTTAAATGTGAGGTAAGCTCAGGTATGAGCAGACAGCACATAGATCCTCCTGTGCAGTGGTGAGTGCCCATGAAAGCATAAACCACTTCCAGTTTAACCCAGAGTGGGAATGTGCACTCCAGAAAAGAACTACTCTACCTGACCTCAGCGGGTTGGTGTGTCTGTGCCGCAGCCCTCCACAACTGGCTGCTTGTGGATATAAGGAGGAGCACAGCAACAATAAAGCACATACTGGAGCCCCAGTTCAGCCATTTAAATATAAAACGTTTGCCACATGTTAACTGGAAAAGGACAGCATGTAATGGAGCCCCAGCCAGGTTTCAATGTGAAGGGGCAAGCTGCACACACCCTGGGCAGCTCAGACAACTGCTCAGGCAACTTTTAAGCCCTTGGAAGGAGGATACTTTAAATGCATATCAGCAACAGAAAAGGCAAATTTCAGGAGTTTGTAAAACTGGCTTCAACCCGCAGTGTGAGGAGAGAGATAAGAGTGGTCATAGCCCTTCTTTTGCCCATCTCCTTCACCGTTCCCAGCAGCAGCAGCACCCAGCCCTGCCTGCAGGGAGAGCCCAGCCCCGTACCCCGCCGTCGTTCAGCGCCCGCACTCTGAACCGGTACGTGGCTCCAGGGAGGAGGTTGCTGACTGTGCACTCCAGATCAGGACCATGATAAACTTCAGAAACAATTTCTTCAGGTTCTGTCATTTCTACGCTGTACTCTGAGATGGGACAGTCACCTTCTGATGGAGGGACGTCTAGAAAAAAATCATTTATGAAGATGATAAAGATACAGGCCAGGAAGTTACCTTTACATACCATAGACACACGTACATCCCACACACATAAACAGTCAGCAATGACCTTCCTCTTTGATAGATGTCTTGCATACAACATCTCAGCATTGACATTTTTAAAGCAAATTAAGTTACTTTTACCTCTAGTCTGTCACCAGGTCAGACTGTCATGCGGAAGAGCAACAGCTTCCCCAAGGCAATGATCTTTCACCCTGGGAAGCTGTTTGATGCTAGGAGGTGCCCAGTTACTTCGAAGCAGGACACAGTGGCTATCATCCTCTTCTGAGGATGAAAAATACTGCTCAGCTTCTTTCCCCCCAGTACCAAAGGTGGTGGTGCATACAAAAAAAGTCATCAGCCACCCGAAATATGTTCTCTTTATGAGAGAAGTCCTATAGTAGAAGTAGCAAAACACTTCCCCTAAATCAATATTACAAAAGAAGAAAAAAAAGATCTTGACCTACAGAGACGGGTTCTGACTAAAACAAGAATGGGTATCAAACCTAAAGGACAGAACACGCTGCAACTTTTCACAAGGCTTAGCAACAGAAATAAAAGCTAAGGCAAGTTCAGCAACTAAGCCATCAAGATCAGAATTAGTGGAAGGTGAGATGCCCAGCAGCTTACCCCATTGCAGCTGTACTTCTCTGTGCTTTGGCTTCCCCAGAACCCTGGGGGGCCGGCAGTGACCTGGTGCCACGCTCAGCGTACGGACAGGTAAGCTCTCAGAACACTGGAAGAGAAGAGGAGCTGAAGTTAGCTTTCCAGTACAAACACTGTCTACAAAGTGAGGCATGATTAGAGACTGGCACAAGAAGCTGTTTTCTACAACAACTGCTTAATAGAAATTTATATCAGCAATAAAGGACAGGAGACGCTATCAAGCATGTTACTTCTAAATGCAATTTAAAGACTTCTTTCATTAGGACACTCAGAATTGTAACACAGGAAACTTTGATGGTTAATATGAAGCTCTTTATTTTGATTTTCCTTGTTTTTAAAATAATATCAAGGTCTGAAATACTACTGAAAAAAAAAAAGCAAAGCAGGAGGAATAAAAGTGTAGGTTGGTGAATTTATTTTAAAATCAAAAGAAGGGAATGGCAGAAATCAGTGGCTGGAAAACAGAATAAAAAAAAATTTAAAGAATAATCCAGCCACATGAAAAGGAATGAATTGTTACACAAACTATGCCCACTGCATCTTCAGTCACCACTTTGGGTCAGTGCAGGCTCATGTACATGAGAGTCTGTGGTACTTCTCAAGCAAGTGGCCAGATCAGATAAATAATAGTTTTTTCCAGCAGAGCTATAAACACCCTCAGATTGGTTCTGAGGAAACCAAATCTCAGAAAACCACAATTTTCCTGAACAAAACACATCAGTTACACATAGAAGTCTACTAAAATTCAGCAACCTGCAATCAAAGACGAAATGCAATCAGTGCAGCTTTACTGTGCTAGGGGAAAAATATTCACCTACTTTTTAAAGCAGAAATCTTCTACCAAAAATAGCAGATAAATTTCTGAGAAACATAAACCAAATAGTACTTATTGATAAGTAACACTTACCTGGCTGTGTCCACCGGTGCTGATACAGCATGCCCGGAGTTTATACAAAGTGCCTGGTTTCAAGTGAGTACAGGTATATTCTGTAGCTGATCCACTATATGCCACTTCCCACTGATTTGCTAAAAAAATGAGATAGATCCAATTTTAGAGAAGTACAAGGCCAGAAGTTTATTAGTGTCTACGAGGAAGGAAAATTCTGGAAGTGGTCTTCCACAAATCATATATTTCAGGAAAGTCAGTGTTAATATTACTATGAATATTATTCCCACTTCAAGACATACATATACATAGACTTATGCACAAATATATATATGTACTTACAAATAGAGATATTTCTAAAATATATTAAGCTATCAAAGTAAACAGCATGTTCAGCCATATAACCTAAAATTCCACCATTATTAAGAGAAAAAGAGCTTACTTGAAAAAAAACAACACAGAACTCCCCAAAATCCAACCCATACTCTCCCAGGAACCCTGCAAGTATGTAACTCAGCTTCGACCATATCTGCAACATTACTGCATTAATGATAATAACAATAATAGCCTGAGGGTCAGTACTTTATAGTAGCCATAATGGATTAACATGCAGAAAACTTGTTTTTGACTTTACCTTCTGGACTCCCTTGAGAAATCTCTAATAGATACTTCAGGATTTCTGAACCACCATTATCCTGGGGAGGATCTGAAAAAGTAAGGCAAGTTGTTAGTAAGTCAAGATCAAGAGCAATTTACAGCAGAAGTGGGTAGCAGATGTTAGTTTTCAGCATGAGTCAGAATAAGGCACCTGGATACTGATGCTACAAAAAAAATGTATGGAGAAAGCACTGAAGAAGATGCAGCATGGAGGCTTCCCCATGGATAAACGAAGCAGCTGGAATGATGCTGCAATGGGACATGAAATAGAAGGTGAAAAACCTGAAGCCACGTTTGAATGCAAGTTAGCCAATAAAAACAAGCAATATTTCTGATTCTGGCAATGTAAGAGCCTCTACACATCTTTTCAAATGTGAAAAAAATTGTCAGGATCTCCAAACACATTCCATTTTGGACTGAGAAGCAGCATGGAAAAAAATTAAGTTATAGTACATACTGACCATTTTATTTTAATTTATTATGACCCAAAAGAGCTCTATGATGAACTGAACTGGCTTACCCCACTTCACACTGAAGCCGTGAGATGTTATTGGCCCTTTAATAACTGGTCTGGTCGGAGGTCCTGGCCTGTCTGGGCTTGTGGTACAGACCAGCACTTCACTGGGAGAACTCTTTCCTTCCACATTAGAAGCAAACAGCTGAAACAAAGTCACAAGAAATTTACCACTGTTTTACAGTAACTGCTTTTCTGACAGTTCAAGATGTGTTTTATTAATCACACACATCTCATTAAATTGGGAAGTATGTCACCTCCCAACAAAGCCTGTGGGATTCCAGTACCAGGTATTAGGCTGTCATGTTGTTTCTTGATAAGCCACATGGATTTTTTGCCCTCCCTCCACTAACAACAGACCATGACATGTTTAAGATAAGAGCACTGCTGGTTTTCCCTTTGAAAACAAAGTTGTATGGCAACTGTCAGTTATTTACTCATAAAAGCTGAAAATTATGACACTAACTATTCTATTTTTGTTTTGGAGGTATTTCAAACTGTTATTTAAAGCAAATTATTTCAGAGTATCAGCAATAACACAATTAAAAGCTTAAGTAGCGTGACATGCAAACAAGAAATGTGTAATCTACAGCCCCCAGAATGAGTAGGAGGTGCACAAAGAAAACTCTCAGCCAAATCCTTCGTCTCTACTCAAGAACATCTTCTGCTGACTTCAGGGAGAAGGTTGCTAAACTTAGAGAGGATACAAGGACCTGTCCAAGAGACTAAGCAGATCGGGATTGTACAGGAAACCCCAAATGGTCCAACGTTTTATGGCTGCTGAGAGCTATATTAGCTCATCCTAGTCTCTGGGACAGATCCATGGCCAAGGAAGTGAGTAATAAAATATGTATTACAATTGCTAATTGTAAATATAAGCTAACAGGAACATTTCAACTTGGGAGGCTCTGTTATTCCCAGGGGCAACCACTTCTATCCTCTCTGCTAGCACAGGTGTCTGAGGAAAACAAGGTCTGATGGCCTTATCTCCAATCTGTAGAAGTGAGATTGGTTTTGTGACCATGGATCAGGTTCCTGGGGAGCAATACAGCCAACCACAACCAGCTCTGGCCCTGAGCCACACTTGTACACCACCATACCTGACAGTACAAGGTATGAGAATTATGATTGTTTCAAAAAGGCTGAGCAATGCCCACCTCCTGTGATTAAAGTAAAAAAACAGTTAATTAACAGGCCCGTCTCTTAAGTCACAGTATGAAGTAAATTGGTATTTTATGATATGGTTTTACAGGTAGTACTGAAGGGTCTCTGCAGGACCTAGAAACAACCTGACACAGAAAGCACTATGCAATGCCAAGAGGAATAAGGTTTTACCCTGAATTTATACTGTGTGCTTCTTCTGAGATTCTTCACAGTACAGGCTTGCTCCTCTCCAGTGTACTTTGGGTGAAACACACTATCCTAGAAAAAAGAAAACCAAACAAATTCCCATAACTGAGGGACCTGAGAAAGTGCTCTGTGTTACAGTCTGTAGCTAGAACACATTATAGCAAATGGCTTTATAGTCAAGTGCTTTTTATTATTATTAATTTCAAGCTGAAGGCCACAATAATTTTCCTTCTAGAAGGATGTTGCAGCTGATCTGAATAATATAATTTTGCTGTAAAATAAGCACAAAACCACAATGACAGTTTAATAGGTTATAGAATCAGAAGTGGCAGATGGCAGAAGGCAAACACACTACACAGCAGTGAGAAGGACATGGCAGACTGAACTGGCTAAGGACAAGCTGCCCTATACCTTACAGACTCCTGTGAAGCTTTGTAAAGTAATCATGGGTGACAGTGCAGATTTTTAGCACACAGCTCCATCCTGCCAAATACCCAGTACTACTAAAAGACCCTCCACAATCCTCAGTCTTCTCAACGATCCTGAATTAACAAATGAAAGCACAGCCTAAATCATACAGTATACTTTACAGCAACACAGTACTTACATTATCCTCTTCCTGAATTTCCAGGGTGTAGGAAATCACTTCCTCTGGTGTACATCCTTCTACTTTATTCCACTGCAATGCAATCCATGTAACACCAGCTCGAACCAGCCGTGGTGCAGAAGGGGTCTGAGGGATATTACCTGCAGTGTAGCATACCACCTCCTGGCTGTACCCACTGTATCCACAAGGAGAGAGAGGAATATTAAAAACAGAACTTTAAAAAAACAAACCTGAGTGGATTTAGATAAACATTTCACATTTAAAAAAAAAATCTAGGCAATTCGAAATTGCCCAGGTGGAAAAGATGAGCACTCAGTTGGGAAATGTCAGAACTAAGAATGGAAAAAAATGCAGGACTATATGTGACCTCACAGCCATTTTTACACCACAATAATACTGGAAAAAATAATATTTGATTGCCTAAAAATATGACCTTCCTATTAACTGTGAAGTAAAGGAAAATCTCATTTAAGAAAGGGAAACTAAAACATAGGAAATAAAGACCCAGTGTTCAATTTTTGGATGTTGAACTTGAGATGCAGTTTCCACCTTTTATAAACTCAGAATACAACTTTTATTTAAACTACACCTCTGAAAGCTGAGTGCTCCAGCAAATCTAGTCCCAATGTTTCAGACATCCTCCTCCAAAGAAAGAATGGAAATTTTCATGACCACACATGCTCAGCATCCTGTAGGAGCTGTCTGATGCAGGCACAAATACCTACCAAACATCCAGGCTGGCTCTGCTCCTTTCTAACTTTCCCTGACCAAACTTCTTTGCATTGCAAGCTGAGCATAAAGTTGTTTGTGTTTTTTTTTGGCACAGCTCAAGTTGGAACCAGAGAGAACATCTGCAGCAGAAGAGATGTGTACTCTCACCTTCTCCGAATCCCAGCACACAATGTCTTGAAACATAATAGGCAGTTGGGTCAAGTAAGTACAGGAAGGCTTCTTTTCAGACTCCACGTGGAATGTATTATGTACAACAGAAATTTGAGAACCAAGTTTAAAATGGACAGATTTGGGTGAATTTTCAGGAGGACAACACCAGAACTGTCAATTCAAGCTAACATTCTTGCAATTTTCAAATCTCTGTTGCCAAAGTACAAAAAGATTTTGTTCCTTAAAGTCATTGCATTAATTTAATACACACAAAAAGCCACGTCTCCTTCTCCTGAGTCTTCTCAAAAACAATGTATTTGTTGAAATATTCTTAGTTTAAAAAACCCAGCTATAACTAACATTGCAACAAGACAAAAATCACCTTACATTGTAAGTTCATAAGCATTACAATCAATGAAAACCACCTTATGACACGAAGTGGTAGATGACGTGATCACGTGCAAACTGGGAGTGCTGTCTGTAAAAATAAGCCCTGAGCTGCTGGCACTTATCTCATAGATTAACCCAGAGCAGCTGACCATAAATAGAGCTCTTAGCCCACTCCCTCTTCAGCTGCCTGAGAAAAAAAGAGAGAGGAGAAGAAAAAAAGGGGGGGAGAGGAGGGTTAAAGCATGCCCTAAGATCTTTTAAAAATCTGGAATCTGGCAAAGAGAAGATAGTCCAAAATTGGAAACTTTGCAGTCTTCTTCCAGTTACACTCAGCAGCTCCAGCTCAAGCTCCTTTCTCTCTCTCTCCAGCTCAAGTATTATTTCAATAGGGAGGGATGTAATCTTGCAAGAAGTTGGCCAAAGGGACTCTGTGCACACAGGAACAGTCCCAGCACACCTCTGAGGGAAAGCACAGGAATATGAATAAAATAACTTTTAAAAGCTCCATATTAGTATGAGGTTTGTGTTTTGGAAGAGAGAACAATATAGGAATCTCTCTCAGCAAAACCCAATTATATTCCACTAGTGTTCCTTTTTCTGTCCTTCATGTAATAACAATTAGATCCTGTTTAGTTAAGAAGGACAATAAAGGAGTATACAAGAGTAATGGATGTTTAGCTGCTTCACAGCTAAACTCTTCCTGGCTTCCTTCCTTCCAAGACTACAGGAGCACAGAGCCCCTGTGGCACGATGTCTCTGGGCACACCCTGGTCCTCAGCTGAGTGACATTTTAGCCAAGTGCTCCCTAGCAGCTCCCAGAGGGTTGCAGGAAGTTTTATTTCTTATCATCTTTGTATGAGTGCATCTGTTCATGTGCAGAGAAAAGTAAAACTTGAAATCCATCTTGCAGGGCCCTGGGGTGTGCCTGTTCTCTCTGGGTTCTGGCTCTCTCACCCTCTTTCCCACTCCCTCTGCCAGCCCTGCCAGTCCT